GCTTATCTTGTTTGTTAACTGCGAGCCCAAGGCCAGAGGCAGCTGTTAGTCACTAAAGATTTAATTACTTTGTACTTTCTTGTCTATGTTTTTTGCTGATTATTTGTTTACTTAGTATTTTTAGTTTACTTATATATTACTATATAAGTTTTATACTAAATGCCATATTTGTAAGCCAACTAAAAGTCTTGTTTATTTAAACTCTTTGCATATGCAATCTTTCTTGTATTACAAAAACATCTTCAAGATTATATTTAGCCAAGTTTCTAATGCTAGTCAGTACTCTTAGAATTACTTTAGTTTTGACAGAAAACTTACTAGAGCCTTTATATCTTACACATACTAATCTAGTTTTATATAACATGCTATAATTACTTAATACTTGCAATTACAAAGTTTAGAGTAATAACATTTATTATCTGATTTTTTTTTTATCAAAAAAGTACTCTTTTTCTCTTTTTTTAATATATATCTGATCAGATTCTTTATATTAAATTTTAATTTTTTTATCTTCCTTCTTCTTTAAAAAATCAGATGATAAATAACACTATTCTTACCTGTTTAACCACTATATTATACTATTTTTATTCTTGTAAAGTTTACTAGAACCTTTGTACCTATCTTTTCTGGCATTTTCTCTATTATCTCTTACTAGTTACAATTCTGAACTAGCAGTTTTATGCCAAACTACCAATCCAGATAGTCTGATATAATATACTTTTGTATTCTTTTCTTCTAGTGAGTACAGCAGCCTAGTTAGTTATATACTCTTTTATACATATTTGTTATTTAGTTTTAACTCTCAGTTTCTATAAAGGTGTTTTGTAAGCTTTAACTAGTTTGATGATACTATTGAAAGTTCATGCTGCCTCTTTACTCAAAAATTTTTAAATAGGTTTCTATTACTTTAGTTCTTTAGTTTTCTATATCTAATGGTCTTATCATAGATTTGCACCAAAGCCTTATACAACACTGGTTATATATTTCTTCATATATATATAATGTTATACTTCACATAGATGCCTCAAGCTTCCAATGTCAGTAGAACCTAACTTGGTATATCTGGATTATAGCTATATAAGGCTAATTGCTTGATAGGAGCCAGTTACTATAATGCTAATATAATTTCCAAATTTCATTATAGATAGAATATAGATATTAGATCTGTCACTTAGAGAATAACAACCTAACTACTGCACTAAAATTGCCATTCTCTTTTTTATATTATTTATTATTTATATATTTTTGTAATTTGTATATTTTTTTCTATTTTTTGATAGCTTTTCTATTTTAATTCTTTTTTTTTAAATTATTTTTTATAATGTTTTGTTATTTTTATCTTTATTGTTTCTAACTTTATAAATAAAATTATTTCTTTTTTTGTTTGATCAATAAATTTATTTAGTATTATTTTTTTACATAGTTTGTTTAAAAAACTAGCTATTATTTTTTTTAATCTTTTTAACTATTTCAGTTTGTAAATACTATTTATTATGTTTATTATCTGTTATATACAGTTAATACTATTTAAATACATATTGCATACTGTCTAAATACATAATTTTTTTAAAAAAATTTATAGTAGTATGCATTTAAATTATTAATTTTTTGAAATTTAATTAGTTACTACTGTTTAAATGCATAAAATTTATTTTTTTATATCTACTAATAGTATGTATTTAAACAGTATCAACTGTAGTTTAATTTTTTATTATAATTATTTGTGTTTGCTTTTTTTTTTTTAAACTGTTTTTACTATTTTTTGTTAAATAGTTCTTTTTATTATCTTATTATTTAAGGCAAAAATATATTGGCAACTTATTGCTATACAACTTTATATGATTAACCAATTATGTTAAAGATTAGTAATTATATAGATAACATGTTTATATTTTTTACTAACTTTTGCACTTTTTTTTAGGTGCTTTTCATTGTTAACATTATTACTAATGTTGTTAGTTAGTTTTTTGTTACTATTGATGTTGTTGCTAATGTTATTAGTTAGTTCTTATTATTATTAGTATTATTGCTAATATTATTAGTTAGTTCTTGTTATTATTGATATTATTGCTAGTATTATTATTAATGTTGTTAGTTAGTTCTTTAGTGTGTATTGTATTTAGTTATTGACATCTTTAGTAAGCTTTTCTTTTGTTTTATTTGTTCTTTATACTAACTTTTATACTTTTTTCTTTTAGGTGCTTTTCATTATTAGTGCTATTACTGATATCATTGGTTAGTTTTTTGTCATTATTAGTATTGTTTTTGATGTTATTAGTTAGTTTTTGTTATTATTGATGTCTTTATTAGTATTATTGCTAGTATTATTAGTTAGTTCTTATTATTATTAATGTCTTTACTAGTGTTATTACTAGTGTTATTAGTTAGTTCTTTGGTATGTATTTAGTTGTTAATGTCTTTAATAAACTTTTCTTTTGTTTTATTTATTCTTTGTACTAACTTTTACACTTTTTTTCTTTTAAATACTTCTTGTTATTAGTGTTATTACTAGTGTTGTTAGTTAGTTCTTTATCATTATTAGTTTTATTACTAATGTTATTAGTCAGTTCTTGTTATTATTAATATCTTTACTAGTGTTATTACTAGTATTGTTAGTTAGTTCTTTGATGCATATTTAGTTATTAACATCTTTAGTAGGCTTTTTCTTTATTTTATTTGTTTTTTGTATTAACTTTTACACTTTTTCAGCATTAGCATTATTACTGGTATTGTTAGTCAGTTCTTGTTGTTGTTGGTGTTTTCACTGATATCATTACTGGTTTTATTAACATCTTTAGTAAGCTTTTTCTTTGTTTTATTTGTTTTTGTATTAACTTTACACTTTTTTATTATTAGTATTATTACTAGTATTATTAGTTAGTTCTTTGTTATCATTAATATTATTACTAGTATTATTAGTCAGTTCTTGTTGTTATTGGTGTTGTTACTAATGTCATTAGTTAGTTTTTTGATATATATTTAATTATTAATATCTTTAGTAGGCTTTTCTTTTGTTTTATTTGTTCTTTGTATTAACTTTTGCATTTTTTTATTATTGGTGTTATCTATAAGTGCAGAAACTTAGAAGTACATAGTTATATTAAAAAAATATACAGTTATGTTAATGTGCTATAACTGGTTTATATTATAATAGCAGATATTTGCTATAACTAAGATTTTGGATATAATTCTAATATTAGATATAATGCAGAAATGTAATAGATATAATCTAATTAAAAGTCTATAAAAGTTTATTTAAATTAAACTTTTTTTTGATTAAGATAAATAAATAAATAAATAATTTGAACAAAAATTAAAAAATAAATAAATTGAATAAAAATTAAAAAATAAATAAATCTTAAACCAAAATTAAGCAAAAGTTGCAAACCAAAAATTAAAAAGTTTTATAATATGTCTTTAATCAAACCCAATTCTGGTATTTCTATGTTATTAGAATTTATACTATTAGAGTTAAAAACTAATTACAACTTAACTTATAAAAAAGTTAAAAAAAGTAAACCTACTTTTAATGAAGTATACAACTATATAATTAAGGATAAAAAAATATGTCTGGAATATTATAAAGTGGAATGCTTTTATTGTAAAAAGTCTTTACAAAAAGATAAGTCTTATATTCTAAGGTTTTATCTTGCACTTTATTGTTAAAATATTCTTAAGAATATCTAACAATATTGGCTTAATAAAGTTTTAGAAGACAATAATGCTTATAGAAAAGATTCTTAATTTCAAATAGCTATATCATTGTAAATTAATATTAATTATGATAAACTTCTTTTAAAAACTTAGGTAATGACAAATATTTTATTTGAAGTTATTAAGAATCTAAATATATAAAATCTCTTTAAAAACTTTAATTTCATATATATATTACTCTTATATACAATATTATCTGAATAGTTGTTAGATAAAGAAGTTGCATATATACAAAATAATATTAATAATAAATTGAAATATGCTAAATATCTAACATTATACAATGAATAAAAGGTGAATAATAAGTAAATAACAAAAAAATCTGCCATTATTCTACCTTATATCTGTCAAATAATAGTAGCATAATAGCAGCATAATAGCAGAATAATAGTAAAATAACAGGAGGTTTGTTAATATAAGTAACATAATAATAATATAATAATAAAAAAAATAGAACAGTTCTATTATTTTGCTATTATGTTATTATTATATTACTTATATTGATAAACTTTCTGTTATTTTATTGTTATTCTGCTGTTATGCTACTGTTATGCTGCCATTATTTGACAAATATAGAGTAGAATAATAGCAGATTTTTTTTTGTTATTTATTTATTATTTATCTTTTATTCATTCATTCGATCTGTGGCTATTATATGCAGTATATATGTAATTATACATTTAATAATTAACTGATCAAAGTTAATACATGCTATACTGTAATTGGCTAGTAATAAGTTTTTGGCATATAATCTTAAATAGGCATGCCTATAGACATAATAGGCATGCCTTAACCTAAAGGCATGTCTATATAGACATGCCAAATTTTTATTTGTGTTCTAAACCCTAGTCAAGTTCAATATATAGAAAAGACTATGCAACTGTATAATCTAAGTTTAAAATAGTAAGTAACCTTGCAAAAACATCTTATATTTTCTTGAATTCTAATTTTTTACCTAACTTTAAGAACCTATCATACTATAATTTTTCTTAATTAATTATAATTTTCTAATTTTACTATCTAAACAAACATTATTCAATATTTAAAAAATAACTTATTCAACAAATCTTTTAAAATCTTTATTAATAACATACTTACTGAAACATATAATTATAAAAATTTAAAATATAAACTTTTATTTAATTATATACTTCTTTCAAATTTATATTATTATTTATACAATAATTTTCTTATTAAATTATATTATTAATAATCAACTTTTTACATTCTTTCTAATATTAATTTCTTTAATATAAATAATAATAATAATTTAAATCTTTTTTTGCTTTTACTAAAGCTGTTAATTATCAGCAGCTATTGCTTTTATTGTAATTTTAATTATAATTATATAACTTGTACAAGGTGACTTCTATATCATATTTAACAAATAAACATATAAGTTTCTATATACTGAAGTGCTGTCTAATCTAACTTTAATTTTTCTGTTTATATGTTCATTAAGTCATTACATATTTCAGAATACATTATTTGACTATAGAACTCTAGAAAGCCTCTCTGCTAACTAACTAACTATATTTAATCTTTTGTTAATAAGGCTCATTTTTGCAAAATTTACTTAAACCCTAGTATTAACTTTATAGCATATCTCTAGTACTTAAGTTATACTCTGCATTAGTTTTTAGACTTCTAATTCAAATAGCCTAGAAGAACTGTAATCTGTTTTTGGTATTTCAGAATCTGTATCTTTTTCTTTCAGTTTAAGACTTCTGACAATCTAATTGATGATACTTCTTACTTAAGATTCTTACCTATCTGATTTTTTCTATATTAATATTCATTTACTAGTCTTTATAATAGTATCATTGAAGATTTATACTACCTTTCTGCTTGGGTTTTTCCAAGTGAGCTTTAAGCTTTTTAGTTCTACAGATTTACATAATTATAAAGACTTATCTTAGGTTTGCACTACCTGATGCTAGTTTGCATTTCTTTGTATAACCTTAATATTGCACAAATGCTCTATAACCTGCCAGTTATGCTAATATAATTATAGTTACAGATATCTTATTTTAACTGATTAATAAAATAATGTTGCTATAATACTTCTATATATTATATAAATAATTATCTAAATTTTTTATTATTAATAGGTTTTGAACTCTCAACCTATTACTTGAAAAGTTGACAACTTATTTACTTTACTAAATTATTATATTCTCATAATTTAAATCTTATTTTTTTCAATTCACATAACTTTAATATTATAACTACTAATAATACATCTTTTTTATAAACATTTCTCTTATCTATTATCTTAATTTTTATAAAAATTAGTTCTTTAAACATTAATTGTCTACTTTAATATTTAAAAAAAAATCTTATTTATTAATATTATTAATTAATATAATTTTAATATTCTTGAATTATCTAAAATACATTTTATTTCAAAAAAAAAAAATATTAACAAAGATCTTCAAAACTATAACAACTTTTGAAGTTTTTATAAAAATCCAAATCAAGCAGATGTTAAAATTTTTATATATAACAGAATCTCCAAATTTGTAACTAGAACATACAACTATAATAGTTATATAATTGGTCTTAATTTATACTTCAAATATAATTTTTTTTATATTCTTCAAATTTACTTTCTAATAGCAAAGAAAAAATAACTAAGCTTTAAAATTCAAAATTAAATTATTTAACTTTGCAACAATTTTAACTATTAACTAATAATACTTAGTAATTTTAATAGCATTCTTAATTTCAGGTAAAAAATCAAAATCATAAAATTGAAAACACAATGGAAAATAGGTTAGCAGATATTTATTATAGTTTTAGAAAAGTTTCTAGCAATAGAAACTGTCAACATTTTATTAAAATACAAAAAAGAATAAACTTTTTTAGCAACAAATACAAATATCCTTTAAAATTTTAACAAAATTTCAAAAATTTTTTAGAAATTTTCATACTGCTAAGAAAATTATTATTAATTTAGAAAAACAAAAGATCTTAACATGTGACTACATGATATAAACAAATAACAACAAATAAACAAAACACATTTCCAATTAGGTAGCCACTAATCTAATTAGGATTTATCAAAACAACAAATAATATTATAACAATAAGTGCATGTAAATTATCCAACCAAGAATTAACATGTTCTAGAATACAAGCTAGTAGATCGATGAATAAGTTTTAAAAATCAGATCTTATTGATTATATCAAGGGGCTGGGTGACAGAAATTGTAGATATTTAAATAGCAAGATTTTAAATCATATTCTAACAACATCTACAAAGAGCCTGTGCAATATTGAATTTATTGCAAAGAATCTTGCATTAAGTGATTCAAATCACATCACACTTGATGCCTTATTACTTTATAGTCAAATTCTTGATGCTCTTCATTTAGCAGAACTAGGATAGTTGGAAGAAAGTACTACAGATGAATGGATAACGAAACTTAAAACGATAAATTAACATTCAAGCTCTATTGAATATATATCAAATATAAGCAAAAAAAAAATAGAAAAAAGAATGAAGAAGCAAATGAAATCAAAACAAAAGAAATAAAAATAAAAATCAGCAAAAAGAGATGACAAAAAAAGGTTGGTGCAGAGGAAAAAAGTAAAAAAGATGCCAACTTAAGTGCAAAACCAATTAAAGATTTTACAGAAGATAGTAAAACAAATAATGAAAAAGAAAAAAAGCTTAAAAAAGATGCTAAAGCATCAGTTAACAATATGCTCTATGATGTTATAAAGAATATTGAAACTATTGACAAAAGGTTATTAAAATTAAAAGAAAAAGCAACCAATAATGCAGAACCAATATTTTGTAACATGATTGAACATAGTCAATAGTCACCAAGAAACAGAATTTGTGATAAGAAAACTCTTTCAAGATGAATATGCTAGCCTATGCACTACCAAAAGCCTCAAAAGAAGAAAGAGTTAAATATGTCAAGTGGATCATAAAAAAAAACTATTATATCAAGACAATAAAAGAAGTTTTCAAAAAAGACAACAATTGAGTTGAGATTGATTTTGATTGCAAATACAGTAGAGACCAAGCAATGGATAAAATCAGAAAAAAAGAAGGTGACTGGCTAAAACTTATTTCAGAAGAAAACAACAAGCAGAAGGAAATTACAGAACAACAAGCCAAAGATAACGTAAAGAAAGCAAAAGAATATATAAAGTTATTAAGCTCAAAAGAAAACAAATAAAAAAAAAAGTCAGATGCATTTGAAGATAATATAAACCAACATAACTACTGTACAATCTAGGATTTGCTAGCAAATATTAACTCAGAAGAGATAAAGCATATATGCAAAAGCATAAAAAAGTCACAAGTGGTCCGAATTAAAAGATCTAAGTTCAAAGCTCTTGCAATAATTAAAATAGACCATTGTGCAAAAGAGGACATTCCATGGTCATTATCAATCAGAACTCACAAACTAGCAAGAATAACCAAAGGTAATGAGGATTACAATTAATGTGATCACCAAAGCCTATTTACAACAAAATTAAAAGATATTTCAGCAAATGCATCGAAGGTATTACTCTTATGCTATTTGAGAAGCAAAGAAGCAAAGTTAGTATATATACCATCTAACAGAAATGGTAATCAGAGAAGGTCAGCAACAATCATCTTCACATCAGAAAAAGAAATGAATGCTGCAAAATCAAAACCAATAAGATATAACAATTATTAAGTCTTTTGGGATAAAGCAAAATTAGAAACAAAGAAATCCAAAAAGGACAAACAAAAGTATAGAAATATAGAAGAACTTGACATTTGTGCAAACCAAGAAGAAACTAGTGACAATAAAAGCATTAAGAAAACAAAGAAGGTGAAAGAAAACAATAATCTTAAATGTCAATCTAATCAAACAAAAGAAATAGTATCTTAGACCAAATGCAAGATTTACTGCAAAAAATACTATTAAGACTAGATAGACTAAAAACATACCATATATACAATGATGCAAATATAATGAAAGGTGAAATAAATCACTCCTAAAAGGCATCACAGTTGAATCAAAGAGCCAGAGTATAAAAGCAAGACCTCTTTTACAAAGATCAAGCACTAGTTCAGAACCAAATACGAGATAGCATCTATATCAGTAAAGTAATAATTCAAAAGTTAAAGAAGAAATATCTATTAAAAACAGTAAAAGAATTGAAAGAAGACAAAAAAGGAAAGAAGTTGAAATATAAACAGAAAAATTAGCCAGCAAGATAAAATAGAGAATCAAATGTCAATAAAGAGAATCTATACAAAAGACAAAATTAATTTAAACATAGCAATACACAATATCAATAGATTCAAAAAGAACAATCAAAAAATAGAGATGCTACAAGAATAGTTAATTGACAACAAAATTGATATTATCAGCATAGCAGAAACAAATATCTTAAGCAAAGAAGGATTTTTTATGTTAAATGATCAGAATGATTATAGAGACTTTTGGTCAAATGCAAATCCAAACAAGAAGAAGAGGTTTGGCATAGGCATACTTATAAATAAACAATAAGAAAAACATTTAAAAGAGATAGATAGAATAAACAAATATTTAATTATAGCTATTTTTATATTTAAACAAACTGAAATAATAGTTATAATGCTTTATATACTATTGAATAATAAAGAAGAAAGAAAGGAAATTCAAAAAATAATAATTGAAAGATATATTAAATGCTAGCAAAGAACACAAATAATTGTAATGAAAGACTTAAACAGTGTGGTTGATTTAGAATTAAATAGATTAGGAAGGCCAAAAACAAAAACAAATAAGCAAAATCTACTACTTAAATGGCTAACAAGACAAGACTTTAAGGATGCTTACAGATTAGTTAATCCAAAGAAAAAAGAGTTCTCATGGTCAGATAGAGATGCAAAATCAAGAATTGCCCAAATTTGGATTACAAAAGAACTAGCAGATGAACTAATTGATGCAGAAATCCAAGAAATAGATGTATACACAAATGGTAATCATACTTCAGTAATAGCTCAAATTAATTTAGAACACTTAATAGAATCATATAGTGCAGCTGAAATTAAAAGAATGAAGCAGCTAAGAACAATCTTTCTGTGAGACAAAGCAACCAAAAAGGATATAGAAAATTATAGAATAGAACTGGATCTATAGTTAAGAAGAAGAATTCAAGTAGAAGAGTTGCAAATAGTTTTACAAAGCTTGAGCAATCAAAAGAACACAGATGAGGCCTTACAAAATAGATTAGATAGATGGTAGAGCATTATATGCAATAGAATTCAAATGGCAGCAAAGAAAAAACTACCAAAAAAAAGAGTATTTAATACATTAAAAAACAAGAAAAAAAAATTAAAAGAAGCAAAATTATTTAAGGTTTTAACTTAGCTAGAAAGATGGATTAGCATAGAAAAGATTAACATTAAAATTGGATTAATAAAAGATAATATTGGTGAACTAAATGAAGAACTGCATTATATCAACTATTATCAAAAAACATATATAGACACAATTCAGATTGAATAGTTACAAGAATTGATCGAAGATTTAAAAAGATACTAGAAAATATTATACACAAGAAGATCAGTTGAAATCAAGGCCTTACAACAAAAAAAAATTGAAGACTTTACAGAAAAAAGATGTCAGATGATTAGTAATGAGCAAGAAAAAATGTTAAAAAGCCTGCTTGACAAATCTAGCAAAAAGATACAAATAGGCAAACTAATAGAAGAAATAAATAGTTAAAAGAAACTGCTTACAGAACTATTAGAGATTTTGAAAAAAACAAAAAATTATTTTCAGAATCAACTAAGAGCAAGACTATTTAATCAAGAGATGCTAGAGAAGGGGTGAAAAAAGATCTATGAACCCAAGAATATGATAAATACAGACTGATATAATGAATTAAACCAGAACATTACAAGTAAAGAATGGTCAGAAATGCTAACAGGCCTTTAAAAAAACATAGCATCAGGCATAACAGGAATTACATATAAGTTAATACAAATAGCTAGTAAGCAAACACAAGAAATTTTTAAGAATTTTGCAGAAATATGCATTAAGGCAGGCATTATACCAAAAAAGTAGAAGATCTCACAAATATATCCAATACCAAAAAGTGAAGAATGGTATTATAATTTAAGTAATATAAGACCTATAGCATTATTGAAAACATTTAAAAAATACATAACCAAAATTCTTACCAAAAGGTTGACACAGGTATTCAGTAAAAAAAACATGTTAAAAGGACCTAACTTTGCAGGCCTTTCAGGCAATTCAACAGAAGAGCCATTTCACATTATTAATACTATAATGGAAAATGCAAAAGACAATAACAAAGAGTTATAGCTAGTACTACAAGATATGAAAAAGGCATTTGACTCAGTGTCACTAGAGGCATTGAAGTTAGCAATAAGAAGAATTAAAATTCTAGAAATTACAATTATATTTATACTAAATCTGTTTTATAAAAGACAAACTAAGATTATTACATATTGGGATACAACAGATACAATCGAAATTAATGATAGAATAGAACAAGATGAGGTCTTATCACCACTAATATGGAGGATTTTTTATAATCTATTATTAGAAAGCATTCAAGAAGATCCTAATTTAGGTTATACATTATCAGTATCAGTTCTATATAATTATAATCAAAACTGCTCTAAGAAGACAGAATAAAGACAAGCAGTAGTAGCATTTGCAAATAATATAATATAGATTGCAAATAGCAAAAAGCAAATACAACAAATGATTAAAATTACAGAAGAGTTTTTCGAAATAAATGACATACAAATTAATGAAAAGAAATCAAAACTAATTATTATAAATTCAAGAGAAAAAAAAAATAACAAAAAAATAATTATAGAAGGTGAGCAAATTTAAGAGGAGAATACCAACAAGATTATTAAATTTTTGGGAGTTTAGCTAAATTGCAAACTGAAAGATTCTCTAATTAGATCAAGAGCACAAGAAACAGTACAATCAACAATAAGGAGTCTAGATACTAAAAAATAACAATAGCACAAGTTTCATATATAAACAATATATGCATTATACCAAGGCTATTATATATATTACTTTTTTTTTTTTATTTTTTTTTATTTTATTTTATTTTTTTTTTTAATTGTTAAGGTGAGGTCATGCCCTCAAGTCTTTATTAGTATATTGGTTATAGCTAGTATAATTTTTATCATACATCATCTATCACTATATATCTATTCAGACATAGGACTCAGATGTCTTTATCTGTGACCTAAACCTACCAGAGCTTTGTATTGTATCCTACTTACACCTAACCTGAATTTTTGTTTCACTACCGATTATATTAGGTAACCTGCATATTCCCCCCATGTCTTACAACCTATTTTTCACAACTTCCAAATTGGTCCACTAGGTCGTTTGCTCCTTTTGAGCTCCTATCTTTGGTTTGCCCAAAGGGTGCCTCTCTAGGATGTATCTTAAACCAGATTCCTGCTGTCACTGCTATTTTTCCAATTCAGGTACTGGTAACATGTATCTTAAGCCAGGTTCCTGCTGCTGCTGCTGGTTTGTAACCCTTCTTGATCTTAACGTTATTCAAATGGATTGTATATTTAACCTGCCCCTTAAATACTCTCTTTTATGATATAGTAGATCTATATTTCAGAAATAGTACTTTTATT